CATCCAGGCCTGGCCTGGCCATGCTCGTCCTGCTCTGGCCTCTGCAGTGGGGGGCTCAGGATGGACCCATGAGAATACACGTGTCTAAGCTGCTCCCCAACCAAGCTCTCCCGGCCACGCTTCGTCAGGGTACCTGACACTCCTCCTCGCCTCGCCTGGCCTCTGCTGACCGTCCTGTTGTTTTACCTGTGCCTTGGTGCCCAGGCCTGGGAAGGGCCCTTCTGCTCACTGTGACCTCCTCGTTGACTGCCAGACCGACGGCAGCTCCCTTCACTGCCACCACCCTGCTCTCCAGAGCCGGCTCTCGGAGCTTAAGGCTTGTGCCACATTCGGCCACCCACGCTGCTTTCCTGTTCACAGGGATCAGGAGCGATGCAGCCAGGAAAGCACGGAGGGCACTGTGGTCTCCAGCCATGGATCAAGGGGCTGAGGAGAGGCGGTGCAGTGACCGTGCCCAAGCCACATGCCGAGGAGCGGGCGCCTTGCCCACCCCAGGCTGCCCATGCGGTATCTCCCTCTGATCCCACAAGCGCTTTCTGCCTGGGGTGAAACCAGCATCCCGCAAAGAATTTCCCAAGTGTAGGCGCTGGCTGCAGGCTGGCCCCTCCATCTCCCACTCCCCCACAGGCCCATAGTACATCCTCAGATTCTGCACCCGGGTCAGGGGCCCAGTGTCCTCTTCTTCCTACAAACCAGCAAAAGCTGACAGTGCCCAGTGGGGCCTGTGGTGGGCTCCCCGGGGCTGTGTCCCAGCTTCTCCTCCCAAGGGTGTGCAGGGCCCTGAATATTGCCAGGAGCACTGTGCATGTCCTTAGGAAAAAAGCCAAGGCCCCTGCACCAATCAATCCCGGACCAGGCAGCTGTGTGTGCAGAGACAGGCCAGCAGGAGCTGCAGGCTGAGGTCCTCTGTGCAGCTGGGCTGCACCCCTGAAAGACCCGTGGGGGCCAGCCCAAGGGCACACACTGGGTAAAGGCCAGTTGGAGCACCCTGGGGGGAGGGGGAGTTGCTGCTTTTCTGAAGTCCTGGAGCCCACAGGGGTTCACAGAGAGGCCCCGGCTGGGAAATGTGTAGGTGCTGCAATTACCCACGGCCACCCCGCTGTGCTGCTGTGTGCAGGGCTCAGGGTTCCCTGAGGACCGTGACCACGCCCCGTTCAGGGCCATAAGGTCCCAGCAGGTGGGTGAATGTGGACCCCAACTACCACGAACAGGGGGGCCACGTTCCACTCCTGGCGTTGGATAGGGGTCACAACGTGTGGTTTTTGTTGGTATATAACTCACAGCAGCTCTGGAGGCTCCAGGTCCCACAGCTTGGAGGTGGGCAGAGACAGGCTTTTATCTCACTCATGACCCAGCTGGCTCCATGGCCATGGCCACAGCCGTGGACAGTTTCCCTCCTGCATGCCCCTCCCAGGTCCAGAGTCAGTGATCACACACAGCGAGGACGGACCATAAACGGGGGCGGTGACCACGGAGGCTGAGCGAGGGACCCCGGCCTGCAAAAGCCCCGCTCCACCAACTTCAGCCAACAGCACTGTTCTGGACTGCATGGGGACACCGACCTGATGGCTGCCCACATGCTAGTGCCAACACTGGCCGAGGCAAGGAGCCATCACCAGAGGAGGCTGCCCCTCTACCCTCTCTCCGGACCGCCCAAACCCTGGGCTCAAACCCTTCCCTCACGTGAATCCGTTTATTGGAAATGGCTATGGGCTGACTCCAGATTTCTTATTGCAGTAAATAACACAGAACACAAAGTTCCCCACGATACAGGTTTTGTTTTGTTGCTTTGGTGCCGGGGATTGAACTCACGACCTGGTCACTGTTTTAGAGAGTCTGACCCCAGGGCTGCACAACCTCGCTCCTTTCTTTCTCACCCCTAGTGAGATCCCTCCTTACCTCAAGCCCTAGCAACCCCGCTCGGCCTTCGGCCTCCGGCCTCCAGCAGTTGCTGTTTCTGTTACCCACATGGACTTGCGCAGTGTGCGAGGGTTTGTGCCTGGTTCCTCTTACACGGCGCTGTCTTTCCAAGGTCTCTGTGTTTTGTAGACCATATTAGTCCTGCTGTGTTTTTCACAGCTCAATAGTATTTCACTGCGTGACTCTACTGTTCTGTGTCAATCCACCCAGCAGCCATTTGGCTGTTTCCACCTTTTCCCTTTGAAGGATGCTGCTACAAATATTCGTGCACAGACTTTTGGATGCTCATCCTCGGCCCTGGGGGCGTGTGCTGGGCATGGAGCTCCTGGGCCGCGAGGTCCCTGTTTACCTTGCTGAGGACTGGCCATGATGTGGTGATGCTCTGAGACATTAGTGGCCAAGCTGTGCCGGGATCCCTGTGGCCTATGATGATCCCACCATGTGCTGTAGAAGCTGACTACAGACTCAGGAAGCCAAGAATAATCTGGGAACTTTGAAGGACTATTAAATTAAAAAGTTGGTGACCACACCCCGTCCTTCCAGGTCACAATCACTGCACACTGGAGGATCTGAGGTCAGGGGAACGGACATTCAGCCTCAAGACGGCCTGGACAGTGATAACTGTCATCACTGCACTGCATAAGACTTCCCTTTCATGCGAATATTCAACAGGCATCGGCCGAGGTCCTGAAACATGCGGGATTCTGCTTTACACACAATACCCACTGTGAATATCCCCATCACGAGCATCGAGGAGACGGGGCCAGAAGTCAGCCCAGTTCACTGCGGTTCTCACGCTGTCCTCGAACCTTCTCGGCAGCGCCGGCGTTAGGAACACAGGTGCGTTCATGATGCTCCAGCAACGTCTGTTCTTCCCGGGGCAGGGCCAATGTCTGCTGCCCGCAGGGTCTCATCTCTTATGCCAGAACCAGAACCTAAGAGCTGCTTGGTGACCTCGCTGCTCAGGGTCTGAAGTGGGTAGGGAGGGCTCGGGCCGGGTCCCGTCTCTGTGATGGGCTAAGAGGCCTTTCCACCCCAAATCTGTGCCACATGCTGAAGTCTTGTTGGGACTGAGTAGATCTGTGGGTGATCAAGACACTCACCCAGCTCACAGCGCCCTCATTTCCAATGCAAATCATAAGCAAGGAGCACTCAGGCTAAGCCCAGATTTATGGAATCAAAATTCTAAAACATTCACTGCAGAACTATTTTAATTTCAATTATTGACATTCACCAGTAACTAAGTTAAGTGATAATGAGCCAGGAAATGATATGTGGGCCATTGGCTTATGAGAAAATATGGACAGAAGACAGCAAGGTCTGTTTCTCAATGGTTTCTTAATCTTGGGGGGGCGGAGGGGGTGAGATTCTGGGTGCCTCAGTGGTTAGGATGAGCTCCTTAAACCAGGGACCCCACAAAAGTAAATGGGGAAGCAACAGTCAGTTGCTAGGGAACCTTGTTAAAGGTTTCCTGTTACAGCTTCAGTTCCCTTCTGCAGGGGGGCTGCTGAGTGGGGGTGTGGCCATCCTCTGACTTGCATGGAACCCGAAGGACCCTGGCTGCCTCCTTCTGCTTGGGGGTAGAGCAGGAAAGCAGGTGATCTGGAGGAAATGGCAGCAGCGGACCCCGATGGAGAGTTTCCTTGTGTGCCACAGTGTTGTGTATGACTTACACCATGTGTGCACTCTAAAAACCTTAGGTGCCACTAGACCAGGCCAGGGAGACTGGAGAGGTTAAGTGATTTGCCTGAGTATGCAGGAGAAAGTCGTGAACCCCGTCAGTTTGACTCCAGGTTCCAAGCACCCACTTCTTCCTACCTGAGTTCTTGAGTTTAGGTTTAAACGGGGAAAGCATCAAATTTGCATCCAACCATCTTAAATAAAATGCACAGGAGAAAGAAAACAGCACCTGCAGAGCCCCGAGAGAACCGGCCTTACCGGGAAGCTAGGTTTCTGACAGCACTTAGGCTCACTCTGTGCCGACCGCCGTTTCATCCTGGTCCTCCCCTTGGATAGCAGCACTGCTCCCAGGAAGCACCCGGCAAGGCTGGTGTGCGTCTACCCACACCTCCTGGCTGCTCTGGCAAGATGGCTGCAAAGACACAATACGCCTTGCAGCCCCTGTCAGGTCCTCCTGGGCCAAGTCTGGGCTCTGAGGGGTCACAGCTCAGGAGATGCTCCCTGAGGACAGTGGCCGCCTGGAGGTGCTCTGTGAGAAGGAGCATGTGAGCCAACACTGGAGAAGCATGGCGGCCCATCTGACCCATGCACAGTACGCTTGAGACAACTACGTGCTGCTACCATTTCCCCTGGGCGGGTGGTATTCCGATAGCCCACGCCCTTCTGGAGTGGGCTCTTCCCCACATCTGGACTAGGATGTACTCGAGTGGCCTGGCCCATTTTCAGGACATCCTCGGTCACCTGGTAGCTTTAGGCAATTGCTTCTCCTCTCTCTGCCTTTTATTTTCTCATCTGTTAAGCAGGCGTGATATTGTTACCCAGCTCAGGGCTGCAGAGAGTTAATGACGCATCTGTGCAGAGCTTAGCTCTGGTCTGGCACCCAGGAAGAGCCAAGCAAGTGCTGTCATCCTGGAACTGCTGGGTGCATCTGAGATTTCATCAGACAGAGCCACAGGCCTGGTAGAGACCAGGCCACACTGGGAGGCCAAACAGCGCTGTTCAAAAACCCCTGGCAAGGCTTCCTCGCTGCCCACCTGCTGGCTTGGCAGACCTCACAGTGCACAGAGTCCCAGAGACCAGTCCTTCAAGAGTGACTGATGCCATGGACACCCCACAGCCAGCTCTTAAGTATGGTGCCACCTTGGCTCTGCTTTTCAAACCCTGTTGACCTCAGCACCCAGGAGAAGAGACAGGAGCTCAGCCCTCCCGGCACACAGGGTTGGGGTGTCAGCAGTGCTGGGGAGGGAGCCTCAGGAGCTACACCTGAGCCCACGGCCCTGCCATCCCCAGAGGTCAGCTCGGTCGCCCTGACCGCAGCTTTCAGCAGAGGTCCAGCGGACAGCACACCAGAAACCTTGTTCTCCGGTAGCCCCCGGCTCCCAGTGAAGAGACCTATGAGGTTCAGATGTGAGGATCTCAAGGTTTATTAATTACACCAGAGGCAACACTGCAGCTCTAGTTTAAAACAAACTAGCCATTTAAAAATCTTTAAACAAGAAGTGATTTTTAAAAAGCCAGAGAAAGAAACTAGTGCTGGCAAAGGACGGCGGCTGACAGTCCCGATCAGAACTGTCACGCAGGCGTCCCATGGCAGTGGCACTCGTTTCTGTCTCCGTCTCACCACAGTGACAGAGGTGTGGCAAGAAGCTAGTGGTCACTCGGAAAGGACATCCAAGAGGCTGGAGCAGCCGTTCCCGAAGATCCTCAGGGTGCTGAGACCGGCGACCTCTCTTCTCCAGGAAGGGAGCCGAGGTGCCTCCCCTGATTTCACCTTCGAAGAGAGCGCAGGGCGTCAGGGGAGCTGCTGCTCTCAGAGAGAAGCCAGGCTGCGCTCAGAGAGGCCTCTAACAGCACCGGACACCACCGCTTCCCCAGCGAACCCTCCCCCCAGCTTTTCCTGACTCCTGAACTGGCAGCGTGACTCCAGGGATGTGGAAGTTGGCAGAAGCGCGGGCACTGGGGGTTGCAGAGCGTTGTTAAGGCTGACAATGGGCAGCAGAGGCAGGAGCACAGGGCCTTCATTATCAAGCACGCGTTACTCAGGCCCCTGCGGCCGTGGTGAGCGGAGGGTCTCGGGCTGGAAAGTGCGGGAGCTGGCAGGGGCTTGTCACGTGGCACCAGCAGGTCAACCTCTCCCACCAGTGACTGCAGCATGCTACAGCTGAAACCTCAGAAACCATGTCATAAATTAAAAAAGAATCCCAGAGTCCAGTGAAATTGCAAAATGGACCGGATATGTACATGGCATGAAGTCACCGGAACTGAAACCATAGCAACGCCACTGTTGTTAAGTGGGCACCTGCCATAGCAGGACCAGAAAAGCAGTGAGGAAAAGAAAATCAACAGGACAAGGACAGTGACATTGTCAGTCTCTAACAATGCTCTGCGAAAAGCAAAGGTCTGTGTGTCAAGAGATGACCGGAAATGGAGGGCATGTTCAAATATCCTTGCAAATATGACATTCACGTTATTTCAAAAATTAAATGTGAAACAAAACACATCTGATAACTTTCTTGAAAAATTACATTCCAAAAATCAACACTTGATTTGTCTTTCGTGCGTTCTAAGCTCTGGGCCATAGCTGTGCTTGCACTGCACTCTGTGCGGGCTGGCTGGTGGCCCCGTGCTCAGTGTGGCGGGGAGCCTTCTGTTTCTATCTCTGGGCAGCTTTCCTCAGGCCCCAGACAGAGCGTCTGGTCTCCTGCCAGGCTTCTCCCACCAGAAGGCCTGTCCGCCTGTGCTGTGTCAACCGGGCTTCACCAGCTCCACGGCTCAGCTGTCCTTGAATCCTACTTCCCTTTAAATTTTTGACCTTGGACTCTTGAAATGTCGTGAAGAGAGATGCTGATTTCCTGCTTAGGGACCCATGTGTGGTCTTGGCCTGGGGATGCTTCACCCTCTGTCCCTTACCCCAGCACCTGGATTAGGAGGTGGCCTGCCTCCCGGTCCCCACTGTGGTGTCCTCTGGTGCCTGGCCAGATGTCAGGGTGATGACTTCTCCCTTGTAGGGTGCCCGCTCCACAGGGGTGGGTGTGCAAGTCTGAAACAGAGCACATTTCAATTCTCTCTGTGAGTTACTGATTGCTCAAATTCTCAGCTAAGAGCAGTTCCGCTTATGAATTGTGACAGAGAGAAGAAAAGAAAAAGAAACTAGTGAATTCATCATGTGCTGACCACGCTGTTCCCTCTCCCACGACTTCCGAGGGACCCGGTGCCTCTGGGGGTATTCTCTCTGCATGGGTATTGATCTGGGTCTAACAAGTGAAGAGATCTTATCAGGGCCTCTGCCTGGGCCCCAACCTACCTCCTCCAGCCTTCTCACCTCTGCCTTTCCTCCTGGCCGCCAAACTAGCTGGCCACATTCCCAGAATGCTTTGCTCTCCCAGGGTCTTGCCTGACAGCAATCTGCTTGTGCATCCCTCTGCTGGTGGCCTCTATCTTGGGCCTTCTGCAGAATTTCCCCTCCTTAGGGGTCCACTCAGAGGTAGAATCCTCCACTGCACTCAGCAGGAGTTAACTCAGAGCTTGAGTAGACCCAAGAAGCAAAGGGATTCACAAGAACTAACTGAACCATGTGTCTGTGAACTGACCAGCAGCCAGAGGCAGCAACTCCAACTCCGTGGGTCAGCAGCCCGGGTTCTGTGGCCGGGTCGCCTGCTTCGAATGCACTCTGGCTCCCTAAGCTGGAAACCTGGTGAGATGAGGCACCTGCATTACTGGGTGTCAGGAGGATCATGCGCAGGAGAGCATTTAGCATCACACCTGATACAGATGCTTTCTTTGTAAATCATAACGCAGACCCACACTATGCACACACTTACGCACACACACATGAATAGCAAGCAGTCATGGGGCTTGTTCTCCCTGCTCTGACTGCCAGACTGCAGTATCCACGGCCTGGGCTTAGATCCAGGCATATCCGCCTGGCTGTTCCTCCACTCACACTGCCTGTCCTGTGTCCCAGTCCCACAGTGTCACTGACTACCTCCCTCTGAGGCCCAAGGTCCAGGGCTGTGCCTCCCAGAATGGACACAAGACACTGTCCACTCTGCCAGACAGCCACACAGCAGCAAACCCACCTCTTCTCTGAGCTTGCTGCCCTGGCTCCGTGATCCCCTGCTTTGAGGAGAAGCTGACGGGAACCACAGACCCCTCAGGTCGGGGCTCGAGCCTTCCAGCACCTTTAACCTCTCACTGTTTGGGGTGGGCAACACCGGCTCTGGGGGCTCCAGTCCTACTCATCTCCAAACCACCTTTTGCCCCTGGCGCTGTCCCCTGCCTACGTGAGGACCAGGGTCAGTGTGTGCTGACAGGTGGGCATGAAGGCTGTCCGAGACAGAACCCATAAACGGCCACGGCTGTCTTCACTCAGTGCGCATTTGTTTTGAAGTAGACTTCACCTACTGCTCTTAGAAAAAGGAGTCATGGCTCTTCTCTCTAGCAACAGGGCAGATTTCCATCTGAAGCCTGGAGTGCCCAATGGGACATAGACGCCAGCCCACGGTGCATGGCCATCAGGCTAGGATGGGCCAACATTCAGTGCCCTGGGATTGCACCAGTGGTCCAGGGTTTCTTTCTCAGGTATCCCCAAGCATGCCACACGCACCCCATCCCAATCCCACCCTCCAAAAGCATTCTTAGTGTTTAGAGGACTTTCATGCACAGAAAACAGAAAGAACAGGATGAAGAAGCAGGCAGGTCTAGCTTGCACAAAGGAAGCACTCGCTCCTCCTGTCTCCTGAGACGCTGTGAGGGTGTGGATGGTGCTGCCCCCCAAACCTCAGTGCTCCTGGGAGGAGCCTGTGGAAGGAGATTGGATCCTGCTGGGAGCTACAGCTGATTGCTCTTAGGAGGCAGGACCTGGTTGGAGGAGGGGTCACTGAGGAGTGGCCCCGCAGGATGCATCTCCCTCTCCAGCTGCTGCCTCCTCTCTCTGCTTCCTGTCTGCCGTGCTGTGAGCAGCTCTCCCCAGCCAGGCCCTTTGCCCTGCTGCTTCTGCCCTGGTGCTGGTCATCCATGAAACCATGGTGACCATCAGTCAAATAAACCTGTCCTGCTGGAAGCTGTGGCGTTAGGTGATAGGTCTCGGTGACGAGGAAAGTGACACAGATTCTCGATTGTCTTTTGTGTCTCTGGCCAGCTCTGTCTGTGACTTTGCTGGTTTCCGTGCCAGTTTGGTGGACACTGAGCTCCACCTGAAGGCCTCTGTCTCCTCCCACGCAGCCTGCATAGTGGCCCCAGATGTGTGATAATTCACTACTTTGTCTTTAGTCTTGGTCTCTTCCTGTACCCATTCCTCTATGTCAGAGCTAACTGAGTTCTGCACCAAGGTACAAATGTGGGTCAACCAGATCTAAGGCCTAAGCACCAGCAGGCCCAGGTTTCAGCTCGCTGAGATGGGACCTCTGTCTCACCAGTGCCTGTAGCCTTAGCACCTTGAACTGTGCCTGGAACACAATAGACGTTTGTAAAACTTACGTGCTGCTGAGGGTAACATTATTTAAGAGTACTATAATTCCTCAAGGAGGACCTCGAGACACAAATGTCCCAACTGTACACCTTCAGGAGGCCTATCTGGGTTGCATCGTTCCCCCGCCCCGACATACCAGTCAGGATTAGCAGATTCACCTTTACAGCAGTGGTTTCCTTTGGGATGGGGCCGAGTCAGGTGAGACAGCCTGGGGGTTGAACTGCGTTTGAGGCTGTCCTAGTGCAGCATGATGGGACCTGGGACAGTAATCCTTAGCAGCTGAGAGTTCAACTGAAGTTCACACTCCTTAACGATGACTGTCATTGTGATGAGCTACCAGACACACATCATAGGCGGCACCATGAATAAACATTAATTGCAATCATCATTAGAACTGCATAATTGCAGAGGTGCCTTCAGTTAGCTGATCAAGGGAAGAGGAAGCTGTATGCTGATAGAAAATTTAAAATTAAAAATTTATATTGTCTGCCAAGTGGGGAGTGCTGGGATTTTCTAAAAATAAGCACAACCTGTAGAGAAAATCCCCAGAGCCTCAGAGAACTACTGATACAAGGCTGCCCACGGCGGCTGAGATGCTAAAACACCCGTGAAGACAGCTGAGGTTCCACATTCCCGACGGCAGACACAGCCCCTATATCCAGGAACTCAGACGAATGCACGGCGGCTCCTTGGGATGAAATCTGTGTTTGGCTGGCGATTTCCAGAATTTTCAGTCCTGACCTGAGCCGCCTGGGCTCTGTCTCTCGGATTCGAGTGCCCCTATGTTCAACAGAGCTGATCTAGAAATGGTCCGTCCTTATATTGTTTGATCAATTACATGTGCCTGTATCTTGCAATCTGAGCAACTACTTTGAGGATAACAATATGCAATGTATGAACCGTTGTTTGTTTCCTATTGTCTTGTTTTGAAATTCCATATCATTGTTTCTATTGTTTTTTTTTTCTCTTTAAAAAAAAAAAAAGAAACTCAAGAAAATATTGGAATCAGGAAATAAAGAAAGCCCCGGCATGCAGATGGTGACCTCCTGTCCATCAAATGTCTGCATTTAATCCTTAAAACACCGAGAGCTGTTTTTCAAGGCCAACAGACCGAGCTGGGCCCCATGTCAGGCCTGGCTCCTTGGGCGAGGTTTGCCAGTAGGGTGAGGGAGCCCTGTGGGCAGAGAGAGACGGAGTGGACGGGAGGTGGCAGCTGTGTGTGAGCAGAACTGAGCTTGGTGACAGCCGTGGCACGGGCACTGGCACTGGCCCTGGGTTAAAGGGTTGGCACTGAGGTAGATAAACCTGGCTGTAGCCTCTTACAGGCTACGTCTGTGAGCCTCAGGTTCTGAATCTGGAAAACAGGAATGGCCTGTCTGTCTCCCGGGATTAGTGTAAGAATTAAGCTATGCTCGAAAGCTAATGGGTAACCAATAAGTATCAATGGAATAAATTTTGAATGATTAGCTAAAACATAAAAAGAGAGCACAGGTTGAGTTTCCTTTTCTCAAAATGTTCCAGATGAGAAGGATCTTGGATTTGGAGATTTTCAGGCTTCAGGAGATCTGCATACGTCTTACTGGGTAAACATTCTTACTCTGAAAATCTGATACTGAAATGCTCCCGAGCATTGTTTGAGCTCTCAGTGTTTCAGATTGCAGATTTCAAATTAGGGGTGTTCAGCTCGCACTCAAAGGGTCCCAGCTCCTGCAGGACGTGGTCACAGAAACAGCCAGAGTGACTCTGCCTTTTCCCACTGCCCGAAAGGCCTCGCACACGCCCTGGCCTGCATCTCTGCAGGCTGGATACTCTGTTCTGTCTGATTTCAAGCAGCCAGGCCCTGCTACATTGCTGAACAGGGTCTTAGGCTGACTGCCCATACGTGTCCCCAGTAAGCCAAAGAGAGCCAGCCCTGGTGTTCACTTTGCTTTTGATTATGATTAGCAATCAATCTGGGGGAATGAGGACCAAAGCAGCTGATGACACACCTCTAGTTACTTTCTCTGAGCCGCCACCTTGGGAAGGACATTGACAAACTGTTATTTCAGAAATAGAAAATGCCCATTTCAGGACCAAGCCAGCCATCCACTCAATTTTATCTTAGCCGAGAGATGGATTATGCTCAGCATTGCAGAGGCAGCCTGGTTTCCAAGCTGTGGCAGCAGCGCTCTGAAACCAGGGACTGCTCCTAAGGGCTCCTCCTGCCTCCTCCACGCTGCAGTGTGACCCACAAACTCAGGAGCTGCTCATTGCCGAAAAAGGGGGGAAAGGGATGACTCAAAGAATAACTCAAACTCCATCCTTAGGGTTTTGGAGGAAATCCTTACACCGTAAACATAAAAATATTCCATAAATACAATTTATCTAAATGTATGTATCAGTGCTATACACTGATAGAGAATTGAGAGTGTATAATTTTGTTTTTTCAGGAATCTCCTGAAATATCTAAGTTGTTGTTTCTTGTTTTTCTTTTCCCTATTCTTTTAGTTGTCTATTTTCCTCTCACACCCTTCTTCAAAAGATTAAAGTGTTTTGTCGTGTAATATTTATCAAATAAGGTCCAGTGGGTCATTTTCTGATTTAAAGTTTTTTCCCTTAAGGATCCACTGGCTAAATTTTAAAATAAATAACCATTTTCTAGTCTATCCAGTTAGGTAAAAGTGTCTCTTGTTTCTTTTGAAATGCCTCACACAGTCCAGTAACAGCGATGGCTGCGACGTGGGAGCCAGTAGGTTAAAACGTAATGAAGTCCCAGAGGAGAGCTACACCCACAACAGCGCCCTGTTTGAGGCAGAGGAGGAGGCAGTCGCTGGGTATATTTATTTAACTTTCTTCCTGTGCTCCTCTGAAACAGCTCGTATTCCTCTCATTTCTGGTCCAGCACCCTTTCGCAGGCTCTCTGTGTATCAAGAAGCAGCGTAGAGGGGTCAGATGCTGCCTGAAAGGACCTGAGACCGGGCAGGAGACTGGCTGGGATCCAGTGCTGCAAATGTTGCTGTGGTGCTAGGACTGGTGCTCTGGGAACTCAAATAGGAAGAACGGGATTTCTTTGGCGAGGATAAGCGGTGAGCTGGAGAAACACGGCCTTTACTGCCTGCTTTTGAAACCCACCCACAGAGAAACCCGAGTTTATTTGTTTGTCTGGTACTTGGGATTGAACTCAAAGCTGGGTGCATGCTAAGGAACACTTTACCACTGAGCTGTACCCCGCCCAAGAAATCTCAGTAATTCAGATGGGAACCAAAGAAGAGGCTCTGAACTTAAATCTAGTACCACGGTGTGATGTTTATATTCAATAAATCATCTTTCCTAACATGGTAGGTAGGAGGGGTCTAAAATATCTCCAGACAATTCCTAAACTTCATTTCACTTTACCCTTTTTATTTTACAACATTTTCAAAATAACGGTTTGGGTTTCATGGCCATTTTCTCCCCTTTTCTTGTCTTTACAGAGGTCCGATGATACAGTGGGAATCAGAAAGATCTATCACAATTCCTGACTCTTAAACTTACTTTTTAGCCCAGGGAAATTAATTAGCTTTGAGACTCAGCTTTCTACTCTCTAAGTTAAGACTCATAGTAGCTACCATGTGGATGTGTGTTATATTTGATGATAGTGCCTACCATTTGTTCTGCCCTGCCCAAATGACCATAAACTAGTACAGGGCTCAGGGCAGTAGATTCTCAGAACATTTGATAAGTGATAATCATTATTTTTTAAAAATACACTAAAATGCCTAAAACATTATCAGAGGGAAATATAAAAATAAAACAATTCAAAAAATGATAGTCAACACATGAAAAATAGTGTTGACATTGACTTTGCCAACAAAACAGAGACCTGATGAAAGCCGTCATTGAGTGAGCTCTGTGGTCCAAAACATTTTCCCTATGGATGAGATGATCCAGGCCAGGCCAGCCATTTAAACAGGGCCCATTCTCCGTTCCCAGTTAGTCTAGCGCCCCTGCTGGCAGATGCTGGGAACAGACCTCCACGAGCTACGCACCTTCAGTCCCTCAGTTCTTTGGATGCTATCTCCTTAGGCTGTCCCAGATCTACCCTTTCTACCCATCCCCTGGACTACAGATGAACTGGCTGTCATCAACACTCCAATTCAGATTAAATTTTGAAAGACTCTTCCAAAACTAATGCCGCGTGATTTGTCTCTTAGCACCTCACTGAGCCTGCTCTTTACAGTTTACTGTAGAGCTGACTGCTATCAGTCAGACAGCCAGGGTTATGCTCTGTGCTGCGTAGCCTAGCTGTGTGACATAGACATTTCTTGAAGTGTCAGGGTCCTAATCTCTAAAAGGAAGGAGGCGACACCTTCTTCCCTTGCACGGAATGCTGAGACAGGGCTGTGGCAGGAAGCCTTGTATTTGGAAGCTCTTGTTACCTGTCAGATTGCTGCTGTTTATCACCAGGGGCTCAGGAACACCTAGACTCTGTCTAGGCTCCATGTACTTGTCACCCGCCCTGTCGGTGTTTATAAATGAGCCCCAGCGGAAAACGAGCTGTAACTTCCAACACTGTCAATGCTGACGGAAATACATTACATAAAAGACGGTAGCATTGAATCAAAAACATTCTAGAGCATTTGTTCATTCAGTCAAAGCCACTGGAAGCACTAAAAAGGAAGAAATCTTGTGTAATGGATTCTGAGAATCCACAGGAAAAGCAAAATTCACAAAAGATTAAAAGAGGAATCAAAGAGATGCCGGAGCTAAGTGAAATGGATCAAAACTCAGCTGGAGAGCTGCGGAGCAGAGAATCAACACTGAAAGTCAGAAAGGAGGAGAGACGCTTTAGAGTGACTCTGAGGGCGACAGGGTGACAGATCTTGGTGGCCCCAGGAGGGATGCTGGGACCCTGCTGGAGAAACCAGCCATTTCTCCCCAATAAGGCCCAGCCTGGCAATTTTGCTGCTTTCTGGGATAGAGGCTACAGGGCTGCCTCCCCATTCCAAAGTCCAAAAGTCAAAACAAAGTTTCTACTTTTTGGTGAAACATAAAAACTATTTTAAAAATCTATAACCTGAACTCTCAGGACAGGCCTAAGGCTCATGCATCTTTTAGGTGACAGTCATTCCAGAGGCTCTGTTCCCCTCATGGTGGTGGAAATCAGAAGCAGAGATGGCTCTGATATTGCAGAGACGGCTCTGATTATCTTCCTACCCGGCCTCCATCACCAGACTCTTACCTGAGTGTCATGAAGTGTTAGGAGAAAATGTTTTCATTGTCCAGACAAGGAAACTGAGCCTGAGGAGAACTGAACCTGCTCTTGGTCCCCGACTGGGATCGGAAGCCGAGGTAGTGCCCACATTTGCATCCACTGATCTCGTCCTCCACCACTGGCCGGTGGTCACAGGATGCACCTTGCAGCCCTTCCCCCAAGGGCACCCCACTCGCCCACAGGGCCTGTGCCCAGGCCATGCCTCCTTCAGTTGTTCCAATGAGTGGGTGCCACCTGTGGCTGGGTGACAGGAGACCTGGGCAGGACTCCCAGAAGGTCTGGCTCAACATCCCTGCTCCCCAGTCTGTCTGGGGCCCAGGTTCCCTCTTGCATGCTTTCTTCTCTCCTTCCTGGGGTCACACTGGAGGGCATCCAGAGCCCGTCTAGTCTCTCCTGCTCCCTCCCCTCCTCTCCTTGAAGGTTTCCCTTGAAAAGATCCTGCACCTTTATTGTTGGGGTACTTTGGAGGCCCCTGACTAACTGGGTTGCCAAAAGGCCCCTAGTAACTATGAACTTGAAGCAGGAGAAAACTGAACAGACACACGCCTTGGGGAGTCTTCCGCATCTGACAGGGCTCACCCCAGCAATATGCTGGGCTGAATGAGAGGAGACCCAGCTCCATCGCCACCCACACGCCATACAGGTGCCAGTCTAGCCAGCTGTAGCACCTTCACGGCCCGACCCACCTGGTCTCGCTGCCGGATCCGCTTGTAGACATACTCAGCAAACGGTTTGCGTGGGATAAACTTCCCGTGGCCTGGGGCAACGCTGAGCGCTCCGGCCTCGTATACCACCTGGCCCCTGGAAATGGTCACCAGCGGCACGCCGTGGCACTCCATGCCCTCGAAGATGTTGAAGTTCACAGCCTGATGGTGAGTCTTGGCCGAGATGGTCCTGGGTTTGTGGACAGCAAACGCAAAGCCCCACATTATCACCAGCTCGTGTGACAAACAGGAGAAAGACGGAAGGGACGTGGGTCACACTGCTAAGCCAGGGCCTCGTCACCCTGCCCAGCGACCTGAGGAACAGAACACTGACAGCAGTGCTGAGAGCTGCAGACTCGGAGCTGTGAGGCAGCAGGCTCAGCCTCTGCGGGGCGAGCTCCCCTGAGTGACGTGGACATGGAGGGGTCCCGGCAGCAGGACCAGCCGCCCCTGCATCCTGCACCCAGACAGCCGCGCCGGAGCAGGTGTAGTGGCTGGACTGCTCGGAGAGCTTGGACTTGACTTCTGGATGCAGGCAGCCTCTGCTTAGGCTGTTCTGGTCCCCTTGCTGGACCCGTGAGGGCTCTGAAGCGGCTCTCCTCACCTCCTTGTGTTTTGTTTGATTTTTGAGACCGAGTCTTGCTATGTCATGCAGGCTGCCATCCTGCCTCAGCCTCCCGAGTGCTCCAGCAGATGGTGCAGTTGGCCAGTGACTGCCTGGTTAAAGCCATCCAGCCCCATGGCCAGCAGCTGCTCCTCCCTGAAGCCCTGCTTGGTCCTGACCACAGCCACCGTGCTGACCATGCACTTGCCTGTCGGGGTGGGGGAGCTGTAGCCACTTCGGGGTTGTACCTGTTCACTGCCAGCTGCCTTTGCAAGGTGGGGTGAGGTCCAGGCCTAGGGCAGACGCTCACCTCACACCCGAGCAGGCGTGAGCCTGGGCTTGCACGGCTGGCCTGTCCCTGGGCCTTCAGGGCCAGGGCTGCTGTCCTCTCTGCCTTCTCTCCTGCCCTGTCACAACTCACTCTAGCATCAGATGCAAAGACAATGCCTCTCAGGGACCTGGCCAGCACTGTGGAGGTCAGGCCACACACACGTGCCTACAGACACACATGCAAATGGAGGTGTGCACATGCGTACATGTGCACAGGTGCGCATGCACACACACACGCTCAGCTCTCAGAGGCATCCTAAGTGGTTGATTCCCGGGGCAGTTCCTTGCAAGCATCTCCCTGTGTGTCCTTCAGAACCCAGGAGTGTTCTCCCTGGACTTCTCTACTTGCCCTGGAGCCATGGCCAGGGTCACCTATGATGGACCTGAGAGCGACGAGCAGAAATGTTCGTTCCCAGCCTCCGTTTGCCCCTTGGTAATGTATTAAGCCCTCACTGGAGTGGCTCATCTGTTGTACTTCCTCAATACAACCGGAAGGAAGCGGGGTCTTTTAGCACCTACTCCTAAACCTGGAAACCCAGTCTCTGGGGCGGCCGTGTGATTTGACTCCCATCCTGAGCAAGTCGCAGTGCATGCCCCCCGCATCCCTGTCTAGAAGAAAGTCTGCAGCTCAGCCTGCAGCCCTAGGAAACCGCCCAGCTCTCCAGAAACACCACAGTACCCCACCAGGGATATGGAATGTGAAACGGGCCAGTTAGGGAGAAATCAGATCGGAACAACGTTAGGAAAGACAGCACCAAGCATTCCCGAGCTGGGGCAGTCCGTGTCGAGAATATGCTCACCAGCACAGATCCCCATGCAGAGCCTTCCTCCCAAAAGAGCCAAGAAAGAGTCAACGGCAGGGCACCAGCAAAGCAAGAAGCGAGGGTGGGGAGAGGGGTCGGCTGGCATATGCTCAGTAGTTAGAAACCCTGGTGCATTAAAAGCAAACAACAACTTGGGTCCTTAGTCATGTCTCTGACAATGCCATCCGTGCATTGTAAATGCTTCTTGTCTCTGGCTTCTCACTTAAATAAATGAGGCAGAAAGACTCTCGAGGCGTAACGTTACTATGAAGAGAAGAGAGGCCGGTCCCAAGAAGAGCTTCCAGGTCTGGGAATTGAGGTCAGTGCCTGGCAGCACCACCCTCACCTCTGTGCCATCCTGGTCACTACTGGGTTGATTCTCAAGTGCTCTGTCCAGCAGCACGGGCCTGCCCTCCGGGGACAGTTACCCACAGAAGTCCTCTGTGTCAGCTTTGTTGGCCAGGAATGGTTAACTTTTGCAGCAAAAAGAGAATGAAACGGACATCACTGGAGAGGAAGAAGGCTCCTCTCTGTGTGGTGACCGCTCACCCACTCAACGCGTGTGTCCCACGCCAGGATGGTTCTTCCTCGTGCTGGGATGAAATCCCTGCTGGTCACGAGCCCAGCTGCAATGCTTCTGAGTATGCAAGGACTTTGATCATAAACGGTTCCAGCACATCTCATGAAGCAAGCCACGTGCAGGGCAGTGGCAAGTTAGGACCCTGCATTTACTCCAAACCCTTTATTTAACCAGCACTGAATTATCAGAAGATTCTTGAGGGAGCATGCAAGAAATGTGACAGATCATTTAAATAAAGACACAAATTATTTTAAGTTATCAAAAGAAAAATGAATAATAGGCATGAATACACATTTTGTTACAACAACAACAAAAAGAAACCCAATGTGAGTAATACATGAAAAAGATTTTGGCTTCCTTAGTGTTCAAAGGTATGTAATTTGCAGCTCAAAGGTAACAATTTTTGCCTATAAAGAAGCAAAAAACAAAGAAAAGTCAAAGACTGTGCTGTATCAAAGGATCCTACCCTTTGACGGCAGTCTTGGTGCTTGCTGTGGAGAGAAATTTAGTTTAAAGTAGCAACAATAAAAAAAAAAAAAAGAGGAAAAAAGAAAAAACAAGAACAAGAAGAAAGAAAAACAACAGCAGTGACCCGTTGCTGGCCAGGAAAGCTGACATGGAGGGTTTCTGTGGACGATTATCCCCAGAGGGCAGGTCCAGGCTGCCAGACAGAGCCCGGAGAGACACAGGGCTTTAAGCACATTGGGATCACCCCGAAATCCTTCAAGGGCCCCACCGCGTCCAAGTGCTGCTTGGCCGACATTGCAGCCACCAGTGTGATTGCCGCAGTGCCAATCACGACCCGGCAGAAAAGGCCTGGTGCCTGCGGAGAAGCCACGATCGAAGAAAGCACACCGGGTTCCAGCGTGACTGTCGGTGTTCCTACGCTTGCTGTTTCTCTAAGAACTCGCACATGGAAGTCATTTGCTTTGATTTCTCCCCGCTAGCTCGTGCTTCACTAGTGTCTTGTCACCGCATTCATGACAGTGATAATGACATTAATGTTTCTCACAGTTTTATGACACGTGCTGTGATCCATAAAGTGAGGAAAGGACGTGGTTCACTGCCCCCCACCCCGAGTCCACCCCTCACTTTGTTCTTGCTCCTTTCCAGAGCAGTTCTGGAACCCACTTTCCCGAGTGGCTGTCCCAGAACTAGTGTTCACTTTGCACGCTCACTTTGACTTTGGGGAAGAGTCAGTGGTCGTGGGGTGCAGGACCTCAGCAGCCAGGGGTGCGTGTTTGTGCAGGGGCTGCACGTGGCCTGGCTCCGGGGAGCAGCGTGTGTGAGCCTGGCAGGAACTCGACGTGGGCTGGAGCCTGAAAGAGTGCGTTTGGCTGCGCCTGCAGGGCGGGACGGGCCCCCAGCCTGGGTCACCTCTGCCTCTTCCCCACCCACGTACAGAGTGAGGTCAAGGCCAGCCTGGGTGACACAGCGAGACCTACCTCCAAAGCCAAAGGAAAGAAAAAATGAGGGTTTTAACCAAAAGATGAGTGAATGTGGGTGAAATAAAACATAACAGAGACCAAAGGAAAGTTCAGTGTCCAGTTAGAAAACAGTAATTCCACATGTTTCTACTGGGAAGAACCTGGTGATATTTCATGCAGAACAAATTAGAGACCCAAATGAATGGCCCAGAGAAGTTCTCAAGCATGAGACAAGGGTATACGGGTTCTGAACAGCGAAACAGTGGAGCAAAAAGAATCTAAACTTAATTATGATATATTCAAAAAGCAGAATACTGCACAGCAGTAAAAATGAATGAACCAAACACACACATTTCAACACAGCAAAGTGCCACACAATATTGAGGAAGTTCCGATTTACAAGTGCACAATGCAACTTATGTAAAGCTACAAAATCAAAAGCTCCCGTAGACATACCTATAGGACTTTCAGTGCAACAGTGAAACACTGTCCTGATGACTTCAGCCAACACAGAAACAACTGGACTGCCTGCTGGGTTAGCTAGCAAGTTCCCTAAAACCGATCAGATAAGGGTACAGAGAACCCCAGTGCTAGCTGAGTTGCAGTTGACTCTGAGTTTCTCAGGCCTGTCGCTCTAGGAGTCTAAACCTGTCTCTCAAACTTGAGCTCTGCCAGCCTCCCTGCAGGGCTGGCTCCCTGCCTGCCAGGGCCTGGGGCTGAGGAGGCAGCAGACCTGTGTGGGGCTGGAGAATCTGCCTTTTCAATGAATTCCTACAGATGATGCTTCTGGTATTGCAGAGACCATAGTCTGCTCTTTAAAATAAAAAAGGCAGCCTAGGTTAATTTTGTATTTTGAGGCAGCCATGGCTCTGAGGAGCCTGATAAGAATCTAAGAGTCTACGGTTCTTTTCAGGTGCTGATGTGAAGGTTGCTGTGATCTGCTTTCTCTCTGTCCCTGTGTTTGTTCCATAACTCAGAGCCTGCAGCTAGCCTGAATGAGAGGAGGGTTTGAGGCCCAAATCAGAGGTGTCTGCCTGACAGTGGGTCCAAGCCGGGGCCCGCCTTGTTCATGCACCGAGGCGCTGACGGACTCGGATAGCATCTTTATTAAGCGCTGCCTGGAGAACGAGATGGAAACACCCAGAATTTTTTACCTTTTCTTTCCATCCAGAGGAGGAAAAATGTACACCATGGACCTTGCACCAGGCCTAGGGGCTGAACAGAGGCCAGAGGAGTTTGGAAATCACACATTCTTTTCAGCGGCCCCAAACTGTATCTGGTTCATTCATGCAGTCATTTCTGAGGCCCTGTGTCCTTGAGCTGTCCTGAGCCCAGGGATATGGGAAGAAAGGCCAGTGCTAAAGGCAGAAAAACACAGAAAATCTGCCAGGCAGGAAGAAAACTACAGCCAGAGCCTAGCAAGGAAAGTGCCTTTTATACAGCCTC